ATGACGGACCGGTAGAGTGAGTGGCAAACGAGACAATAAAAATATGCATAGAACGCCTATATTTTGCAAATTTAACGGCAGTTCAGGAAAAAAGTGATTATGGTAAGCCACTCTGGACGATGATAAAAATGATTAGAACCGACTTGTAAAAAGAGAGTGACTAAAGTGATTAGATGGTAGCGCTGTGATAAACAGTACACTGTACGACGAAGGGGATGAATGGCGATTAAAACATTACGTTAAAACGTTAAGACTATTCCCTCGAGTCGTATAGCGGGTGAAATAAAATAATAACAAAACCGACAACGGGGAGAGACAGAAGGAATAAAAATCGCCTACGCGGCTCGAACGCGAATTCGGGTCATCGCGGGATCCCCGCGAGTAGTAACGCAGAATGTACAGACCGAGTATGCATAAGTAAAAGCAATTGCAATACGCCGGTTCGATTCTGACCTTTTCTTTCTCCCGTCGTCGTCGCAACGATCGATGCGGTCCACATGTATACATGCGTATATATTGATATGTACGCTCCGCGCTAGCTCGCTCTATCTCTCTCTCATATATGCTCGCGCCAGCGAAATATAATTCGCACACGCCCAGTCCCCTGTGCCGTCGCGCGAGAATGACCAAAGAGAGAAAAGCGGAATTTCCCGAATAGCAGCCCCTCCCGCGCGCTCTTTGCCTCTCTCTTTCTCTCCGCCGAGATGATTGTTGCGCGGATATATTCCCGAACACGGTTAGGGAAAAAATGTGTCCCTTTCCATTACGAAGCGCGACCTCGTAGGTGGTTTTCAGGCGCGGCCGAACCGACCCGTGACTTATGCGTTCGCGATTGCGAGTAACGCGACCGGCGAATATTTCCAAAACGGTCGGACATATCGAGAAATCCTTTTATCTCGGGAGCGTGTGTGCGCGTGTGTATGTATATGCGTGCATGTTACTTCTGCAAGATGGAAAGAAAAAGGTCCGGTGTTTTTTTTCCTTCCGTGAAACGTACTACTCCAAATATTTTCTGTGCGAAAAACGATACGACTGATATGGGTCGGAATAATAATAATAATATAGTAATAATAGTGATGGTGATAATAATAGCAATAAAATACGTGAAATACGTGATAGCGTAAATTAAAAATTGGGAGAGAAGAGAGATGAGTAATGTAAGAATAAGAAATACGGGGACTCGTCGCAAAGTTCTGAAGTTCCCCGCGGAAAACTCGCGGAACGAAGGGGAGGAAAGAGGTAAGCACGCGCGTTCGAAAGTTTTCCCCTACACGTTGACACGTGTAGCAGAAGCTCGATCTTGCGTTGACAGCTCGCCGCCACTTCACCACTCTTTCTCTCTCGTTGCTCCCGCGCGCGCGCGACGCTAACGACGGAAACCCAGAAACTTATTCGTACGAATCGCCGTGCGGGTCGCTTATCGAAGACCTCCCAGGGAAGAAGACCGGTTGTCCATTCGCGGCTTCGAAGATTAATGAACGCCTGTACTAGGAGCGGAGGCTCATTAGAACGCATTAACCCCGAGCACTTTCTTTTTTTCGCATTACTCCATCCTAATGACACATCGACCGCTATTCCCCGTGAAATATCAACCTTCGAAAAGGAATGGTGATTGCCGCCGCCTGCGCCGTAAATCGCGCGCGCGCGCGCACTCGCTCGCGTCGCCGTCGTCGTCGTCGTCGTCGCTGGGAGAATAATCTCCAAGACGGGCGGTAGTGGTTACGGAGACTGTCTTATGAATAATCATGCAGATACCAACGACAAAGCTACTCAAGCCTAACGGCTTCTATTCAGAACCATTTATGAGCGCCTCCGTTGTATTCGTCGGTTCTGTCAGAGATGCCGAACGTGTATAAGAAGTTACTTCAAGAATTAAAAGAATGAAAAAAGGGAGACAAAAAGAGATGGTACTTTTATTAAAGGTTATCACGTACGGATTGTCTCATTATATTTCCGAAAAGACGAATATGTACGGTCTGTAAAAGCCGAGACACGCTGGATGTTCTAACGCGATACGAATATTAACGGTTAATATTAATATTATTTGTGGGAAGATTCAGCCGTGTACTAAGCGTACTTCCGATTCTTAAGATTCGACATCGTACGCGGAAAATCTGCCTTTTCCGCGTTAGTGGAAAGTAGAGTGATCTTTTAATCCCAGAGTAGCAATTATTAATGTTCCCGATTACCTCGTTTCCGTAAAAAGTAATTTATTATTTGCCTCTTAAATATAATATTGTAGCTCATTATATTCCCGCTATTCCGGGGGACACATATATATTCTGTATCTTTATTTTTATCTTTATCCTTCGTCTTTTATTTTTTACTTCTGTTTTTATCTTTACTCTTATTTTTGCTACTCAACTGTATCGTTTCTCAACCTTGCGTTTACACGTACATGCTTTCTTTTAAACTGTCCGACGGCGGAGCCCCCGAACTGGAATAAATTCATTTATTTATCTATCCATCCTTAATATCAATTTTATTATAAACGTCCCAGCGATTTACCGTTCAGTTAAACTCCCTATATATTCCATATCATCTCGCCGACATGCAGATTGAATGGACGACGCAACTGTAACTCAACTTTAAATACTTCCCGTAACAATCGTGAGCGAAGCTGAGACGCGCGCGACGATAGAACTGCAATTTTCGTTAGAGGAACGTCGATTAACCGGGCGACGCAAACCGAAATCGAGCGTAAGAGTCCGCGACATGTGCGCGCGCGCGAATAATAATAACGCACTCCCTGGATCGTATCTTATCACCATTATCGTGGTTTTCTCAGAAGAGACCGGTTTATCTGCCGACGGTATATGGGCCAGATAATTTTATAATGCGACGGAACGGAGTGTGCGCACAGCTTCGAAGGAAAAGACTTCCCGTCCGGGCCCATTTCGCGCGGAAGAATTTCCATTCCGCGTAAATAGCTTGTCGCTCAGCCCGCTCCACTTTTCGCCGATGAAAGAATTATAAAATCTAATCAAGACGTAGCCGTCGCTTCGATTCGCGCGCTTTTTTCGCACACCGTGCGCGTATCTCGGTCGAGCGCGAAAGCCGCGAAAGATATGGGGGAGGGGAGGTGGAGAGGAGAGAGGAGGAGAGAGAAAATTCCCCGATTTATAAAAATGAAATTTAACATGGCAGCAGCCGTCTAATTATTATCCTTGAATAGCACGACGTGACGTTGTCAATCAAGGCATCTCGAAGCTGCGAATTGAAGAGAAGGGAAATGTTTTCCTTCCGTGCACGCATTGAAGTGTATATATTAAATATTAATGAAATATTATTCAAATACTATTTTCGCTATTTCAAAACTCACGATGCCTTGGCCACGATGAAATGGCTGCGCGGCAACCTCGCAGTTAAAGTTGGAATATGTTAATAAACATGACTCGCAGAACCTTCAGCTCCGAACGCGCTCTTTACATAGATATCGGTGACGGAAACATGGAAAAAAAAAGGGGGACCGACGTTGACTTTACAATTGCGCGCGAGCTTTTTCGCGCGCGAAAATAAACGCGCGATCGAAAATTGAAGTTTGGGGCGAGGGGGCCACGGAGCGGAAATAGGGCGATTTAGCGGACGCAATTAAACAAAACGACGCGCAATAACCTTTATCAAAATAACGACATCTCGAATTGCGATAAATAGCGCGTTCGATTAAGCATACCGTAAATTTCGTCGCGCTGACCACGGCGATAGTGGCGCCGCGAATATTATTTTTTTTTCCGACCGTTTCAAAGGGATATTTATTTTCGTGATTTCATCGGAAAAAAAAGATATCCCACTTGTTTACGTGATATCGGAAAATTGGTAAAACCGTTCTGTAATAATTATGCAAGATAACCCGACCGGACGTTGTCTCGTATATTCGCGGAATATACTTCCAACAAAGCGCGATCCGTCGCACGGGCTCTCTCTCTCTCTCTCTCTCTCTCTCTCTCTCTCTCTCTCTATCCCCCTTTCTCTGCAAACGCGATGAAAATGGCCAGAAAATAATAATAATAATAATAATAATATAATTTATTGAGTATAAATAAGTAATATATAAAAAGGAAAGAGATGTTAATTGCCATCAAAAATGATCACATAGCGCTCGTCTCGGGCGTATCGCCGATGTCTGCGGGTATCCGAATATTCTTATAGTATCGCGGCACTATTTATATATTATCTCATCCGGCCTGATAACGAGAACTCATTCCGCGAAGTCACGATGCAACTTCACGATACGCTCGTAGACACGCACGCGGTATCGCCCGGGAGAGCTCGGGCGCGTTTCCACGGTACGAGGCGTAGCTCGCTCTCTGTCGCGGGGAAAAATTCGCAAATAGGATCACGCACGAGGAATCCGCTTCGCGGGCGAGATGCGTCTCGTCTCGATCGCGACGAGCCAACGACGGAGAACGGTAAGACTCGGTCTATACTAGGTATCTGCGGGGGAGCACAAAGTATCGATATTTTAAATCGATACGAATCGAAAGACAGAATACCGATGTATTGATTAGGAATGTATCGACGTGAGAAAATATCGTTATTTTCTGACACGTCTTTTGGATATTACTTTGCCTGTTGAATCGTTCGATCAAATTCGAAATTCTGTGTATTATCAGAGAGAAATCTGAGATCGGCGATGTCGGCATTTTTCAACGAATCGTCTTGAAGTAAGTATATATTTATGAGAATATATATTCATATATTATAAATATATATTTACACCACCCAATAACGGGAGCAAATCGTGCTTTGGTTTGTATCGAATCATCAAATTGATACCTAGGCCTTTAACCGATACGCTATGATATTGAGACTCATCCAGGTATCGATATAGCAAAATAGGGAACATCAAATGGCCGTGTATCGATAGTTCAAAGGTACGAATCGGAACATCTCTAGTCTATACCGCTCTCGACGGTCGATGTGAGCGCGAGTAAATACTAATGTGCGGGCGCGCAACAACGGGCTCGCAGGAGAGAAAATGTATTCGAAAGTGTACTCACCTCGGTGCGCTGCTGCAACCTCTTGTTCAACTCGTACAGCCTGTAGTCCGGTTGGCTGAAGTACGGAGTATGCCTCCTGGGGACAGGTAACGATCTGTCAGATCAGACCGATCGGTCATGTTAGGTGTGCTGTGTACAGTGTTATTCTCGTGTGCACCGCGTGTTTCATGCATGCAACCTAACCCCGTCCCGACCCGTCAGGTCGCGTCGCGTCGCGCGAATTTTCGTAAGGCGCCCCGAGGGGCACCGACATGCACTACCGACTCTCTCGGGTCGAGCGTGCGCGCGCGCTCGCTCGGACGTGGCACAGATTCGCGAAATGTAGTTTACGACTTTCACCGAGCGACCGCGCGCGCGTTTCCGATCTTTCTTAGCGCGCGGCGTATGAGCGAAGATTCGAAAGGTACGCAGCGCTTATCAGGCGAAGGGTCCGCCGCGACGGTCTCTAAACCCACTTCTCCCTGTCATTCTCGTCGAGAGCGATTAGCACGGATTTTTTTCTCCTCGCGATCGAAACAGGCTCCTTTCTTCCCGGGTCTCTCGAAGAGACCCGGTTAAAATCACCGTCGCGCCGAATCCTTCGCCATTCCGCTTTTCGCAATCCCGACGAGGCTCGACGATCATACCGACAGAAAATTATAGGTGAGTCCGGCGCCAAACGTATTTTATAATAGCGGCAACATGCGTGTAAGGTTGTTATTATCACTGACGCTACGATAACACTTATTAGAAAAAAATGTTTCTGACTATTTTTGCGGTTAAAAACGTACGTTTGGCGGCGAAACTAATTATGATTTTCTATCAGTGCACGCTGAATACACACGCAAATACACACGAAAACGACATCTACGTTCATTCCTTAACCTCTAATGTAACCTAATATTATCCAACGGTCGCATGCAAGCGAACCTGCGGCATCGAAAATCGAACTGCGCCGTGTGGACTTGAATTTTTAATTGACTGAGTTTCAAGCAAGACCGAGTTAGGGGATTTCGATGCAGCAGGCACGCGACAATCGTCGCTGAATTCGTCTGACGCTGACGTAACGTACGTCTCGCCGACGAGGAAAATGATCTCGGCGCAATTATCTCCGTATCCGCGGCGGACGTTGGTCGCGGCGAATGCGAAGTTCCCAAAAGCGAGCAACAGGGAGAGGCGATAAGTCACGCGGATCGTCGTTACCGTGGGATGCATAATTAAAATGTCATTAGACACCTTTTTTCTTATACCGCGAATGCCGAGACGCCGGCCAAGAATACGTCCCGAGATAAGGATTGCCTCCCGTCGCGCTGTTCTGTGACCTCTCCTTATCGCGCGCCATTAATCCCTGACGCAGCCGGATTCACCGAGGCGAAAAAAAATCGAACGGTCGATATTTAGAGAGTATATATTCGAATGATAAATGTCGCCGCAACGGTCGCGCGTATGTTGTTACGTTAATCGTTATCGCGCTATCAATTAGCACGTTATGCCATTAACGGCACGTCGAGACTAAACTTTGAATCTCGCGCGCGATCTTACGACGCGCACGCAACCTGCGTGTGAGCACGTCCCGTGAAAATGCCCGATAGCATTAATCGCAGCAGTCGCAGCGTTCTGATTGAACACAAGAGCCGATTACATTAGCACAACGGGAACAGTCGCAGCGATGGTAAAAGGGAGGCGGCGGAGAGCCGATCGGAGGAGTATCGCGCGGGGGAGGTCGATCGAGCCGCCGCTCGGTATCGATCTTCGTTCCTTGCAAAACCGCGAGTGCGAATTAGAATTGCAGATAGCCTTGTATAATTGCGCTATTAGAATGAATTTCTGAACGAGCTTCTCTCGAGCCGGGGCCTTCGAATCGCGCTGCAAACATAAATATAATTCTGATATTCGGACACAATTCCGAGATGCGAAATGCGATTATCACAATTATAGTTGGAAAGAATCGGTTTCACTTCTATTTCCCCGTAAATTTTTTCGGTTTCTTTCCTAGGGGTAGAAAAAGTTTGTTTAGAAAAATTTATGTGTGGGTACGGTTAACACCTGCCACATTTAGTGTCTTCTATAAAGAAGATATATAATTGCGTGCATTTTTAACACAAGTGAAATTAATATGTTATATGTTAAACGATATAACATGTTGTCAAAATAAATATTATTATTATCACCTTCAAAACATTACAACCAAATACATTGTTTTAACAAATATATGTAATATATATGTATAACATTACACCCGAATATATTGTGAACAAATATGTAAAATACACACATAACAAACACACACACACACACACCATTATTTGAAGATAATATGTTATTGCTAAACATATAATATATTAACTTCATTTAACTTCAATTAAGTGCGCGCAATTGTCTGCTTTACGGAAAAAAATTAATGCGGTAGGTTTTAACCGAATACACGGTGAATTTTTCCAAACGAATAATTTTATCCTTGGGAAAAAAACCGAAAAAAATTCCGCGGAAAATAGTAAAAACCGGTTTTTTCTCCTCCGATCCCTCAAAACTATATCTTGATGCACGATTCTCTCGCCGTATCCGCACGGTGTGTATCTTGAAGCATATTGCGCATGCGTTGCGCCGGCGATTAAAATATCCAGATAGAGAAGATATGGATATTCCCGTGCGCGTTCGTTATCAAAGTTCCAATTGACGTAAATTGTTGTAAAATAATACGAATTATCAGCACCTCGAGAGCCACTCGGAGCGCGATTCTCGGATATTCAATCGGCCCGTGCATTTCTGGAATTCGAGCTCGTTCCTCCGCCGGCGTAAAAATCACCGGGGAGGCGGTATTTTTCGAGTGCTCGCGCGCGTACATATGTATGACGTTTCCTCGTTGACTTAGCACGATCGCTCTCGCCGAGGGCTTCAAGGTGAGCGGGGGCGGGCGGGTCGGAGCGTTTTAATAAAGTTTCGCGACCTGGCTGCTCCGAGAGCGGGCGAAATTAACCGCAAGCGTGGAGACTTTTAAAACCGACTTCTAATGGCGAGCGCCGTTGTTCCCTTCCCGCGTGGCCGACGAGGACGACGTCGATGACAACGGGAGTTCGGCCCGCTCAGCTGTTTGTTGAAATAACGTTACACCAAAACCAATAATGACGCGAAGGTCGTCGTATTTACGCTGTCAGCTCGATTGTCGGCGATCAAGCTGACGGCAATATTTTGATATCGGCCGCGAATCAATTACCGGCAATATCAAGCGTATTACACGGTGGATCCAATTTTCAAGAATTAGCTCGCACAACGGCGAGCTAATGGCGAGGGCGATGAATGCGAATCCGTTTTTTTCGCGCGCACCTCTCGCTATGTTTCTCTTCCATTCGACTCAAACGCACGGCATCGCCGCATCCGTCACTCGGATCGGCCATTTATTTCGAAAAAGCGATTAATCGCCGGGACGCCGAATTTCGACTCGAATCGCGAAGATAATTCCGGTTCCGCCTTGCGACAAATTGTCTCGAAAAAATTCTACAGCATCCGCAGCCGCGTTTGTACCGACGTAGTATCGCACATTAATACTTCCGCGTATCAATCTTCGATACGAGCAATGAGAGAGAGAGAGAGGGAGGGGAAGGGACGCGCGCGCCTGTAATCGATAAATGATATTCAATACAGTTTAGGTGCCTCAGCCGACGGCTCTCAAATCATCGAGGATCAGGCCTCTCGGCTGTTGCGGACCGTGGAGCGCGCAACGGCAGTTGGTTAACCGGCGGGTAATTAACGTCGAATTGATAATATTTAGTGCTCGAAATGCCTGGGCCGGTGGTGCCGCGCGTGTATTCGCGCCCCCGAGGCCGGACGAACGATCATTAAGAAGCGAGCGAGCGAGCGCGAGCAGCGGCGGTGATTAATAACAAGAGTAACGCAGAATATTCCAGTAACAGAGAGTTCAGCGCGCCCGCACTTCCGGTAACGAATTTCGGGACCGTTCGACCTGCGATCGATACGACGTTTAGCACGTTGCACATTCTCCTCTCGCGGCGGTTTCGCGCGATGCGCGAATCACGTGGCGCGTAATATCAGTGTGTACCGATAGGTAGATGAAAGAGGAGCGAACGAGGGATCAATTAACTCTTCGGGCGGGAGGAAAGCTCCGAATTGATCGAACACGACGTTGCGACAGAACAAAACTGCCGTCGACATTTCCAAGACGGCGGATATAATTATGGCACTAAATGATGTTGCAACGAAATTCATTCTTTTACCTGAGGTGAAATTTTGGCCCTAAGTTAAACTTCTGATCGTTCAATACGGTAGGAGCTGAGATAGCAAAATAAGTTCGATATTTCGAACACGATTCTGACAATATAATTTATTCCTACTTTGAGACCCTGATGATCGTTCAATTCCCGTTCTCGTTGTTTTAGCGTCAAAACAGTTCTTCAACGTAGCATTAAAGTAAAATCTATACACTGGGAGAAATTATAGTTACTTGCGACCTCAGCTATACTTCTTTGTGGTTTTAGCTGTAAAAAAAGTATACGCAGAAAAAATTTCCCTCGAAAATATAAACATTCATGAACGGAAAATGTATCACAGCAGTCTTGCTCGGCTAGAAAAAGAATTATTTGGACTATTTTTGTGGTTAAAATGAAGGACAAAAAAGGTTATTGTTCTTCCCGAAAATAACTATATTTTTCTCCCAGTGTAGCCAGCAATATACGTCACACATTAGTTATTACGAGGCAAAACTTTTTTCCCATACTGACATTAATAACGCAGTCCAAACTGCAGCGTCGGGAATGTGTGTAACAGTATGGGACATTTTTATCTTTCTGATATTTCTCTTTGTATGTATGGTAAATTTATATACAATTAAGTTAAAAAAACTTATCAAATTATTCGTTTATTACTGTCACGCCTGTATAAATTTTAGCTGCAATATGAGTATATCCTAATCGCTCAATGCAAGTCCAATATAAATTATGCTATTAATATGCTATATTGTACAACAAAAATGTTCTACATGTAGCAGCAATAATATGCGCGTAGAGTTATTATCAGTAACACTTATTTAAAAAAATAATACTTCTGACTATAATTCCAAATATCAAATATTTTTTTCCCAATATAGAATTAAAGGTTTCA